CTCTTCGTACAGGCCAATGTCGTCTGCAAATCGGATATGATGTAGTCTGCTTTCATCTATATTTAGTCCACATTCGTTCTATTCTAGTTTTCGGAATATGTTTTCAAGCACAGCGGAGAATAGCTTTGGAGACAGTGGGTCACGCTGCCTGACACCTCTTTCAATTCTGAATGCTTCTCCGTGTGTTTCCATTTGTGTTCTTGCTTTACAGTTAGCATATATTTTTAATGATGTTTATATAAGCCCTGGATACTCCCTGTTCTAGCTTCATGTTTAATGCTATCAAAATCTTTGGTATAATCAATGAAGGCTATGTACATTGGTTTGTTATCTAATAGTCTTCTAAATAATCAATCTTAATTTAAAATAATAGTAACATTAAATAGAAACAGTTAACAGTTCATTGTGTTACTTTGTTCATTATTAAATGCTGAACTTTAAGGTACATCACTATATAACGTAATCAGTCATACATTACATGTTTCTAAGTTGAAATCTAGCCCTAAGTGATTGTTATTATTTCCGTTTCATGCATTCAATGCATTGCTTGCTTCATGACATGTATCTTTTTCTTTTATGGGTATAAGTTTGCCGTATCGGAGCAGAAAAGAAAGAAAAGAGCCTACTCCTTTTTAAAAGGCCGGCAACGCATCTGCGATTCCCCTGGTGTGGCAGTTGTTCATGGGCGGCGGTAGTCACTTAACATCAGGTGAGCCGCATGCTCGTTTGCCCCCTCTCCTATAAAAAAAAACCGCTGGCGATAGTAAATTCTACAGCTTGGTCGTGTGAAGCAAAAAATTCTGCGTGAATCGCACAGACAGTAGACCGCCAGCCATCAAGACGATGAGGATGGAATTTCGTGTTCTGTCGCAGTTTACGATGGTGGAATTCAGCAGCTAGAATTAATCCTAACAGTTTCTCTGAATACACTCCGTGGTATATGCTCGTAGAAGATGACAGAACGTAGAACCTTATCATGAGATGAGGAGAGATAGTGAAATTTACTCTTAAGACAAGAAGGTGAAAATGGGTCGTTTAATATGGAAAAAAGAACAAGTAATATTCTGGAAATACGCCTCTGCCGGATTGTAAACCAATTAAGCTTAGATCTATATTGCGAAATATGGTCATACTTACGAAGCCCGAAAATAAATCTTATACAGTTATTGAGAAGGCGTTCCAGCTTGTTCAGAAGATCCTGGGACAGATCCGGGTAACACACATCTACATAATCAATTATGGGTAATATGAGCGATTGGACAAGCATGATCTTAAACTTTGTGGGGAGAAAATGTTTTAAACGATATAGAGAACGTAACTTGGTAGTGACTCTACGACTGACTTCAGTAACCTAAGTTCTCCAATTCAGCGTGCTGTCAATGTGTAGGCCAAGATTTTTTACAGACTTACTGAACGGTATTGTAATCCCATTGTACTAGAAAGGGGGTATGTCTGCAAGATTAATGTTGGCTAGCATCCTTAAGTTACCCACCAGTATAGATTGGCATTTCGAAGGACTGACCAACACTCCATAACGAGTAGACCAATCTTTGATAGCTGATAAGTTGTTATTTAAGTTTTTAATCCCATTATGGATATCCCCTATTTCAGCTTGCACGTATAGCTGAAGGTTATCGGCATACAGATGGTACGAGCAATCGAAGATGGAGGTAATAAAGTTTATAAATACAGAAAAAATTATAGGAGAAAGAATACCGCCTTGCGGCACACCAGCTTCCACATCAGCTCAAGCTGAGGTTATTTGCCCCACATAGACTGACTGCTGTCGACCGCGAAGATAAGATGCAAACCATTCCAATGCTGTAGGGCCAAAATTTAGATGAGACAGTATGGATACAAGGATTTCATGATCAACTGTGTCGAAAGCATTTGAGAAATCAACTAGTACCAGTACTGTTACTTTTTTTCTTCCATACCTTTTCTAATGTCGTCTGTGACGTTAATTAAAGAAGTACTGGTACTATGACCAGGGCGAAACCCAGACTGATATATACTCAGTAGGTTATGTTTCGAAATAAATGTATAAATTTGCTTGTAAACACAGGATTCTAAAATTTTGGAAAGAAAGGGTAGAATGGATATAGGGCGAAAATGATTGGGAAGAATGGGAGAAGGAACTTTTGGAAGGGGCTTTATAAAAGCCCTTTTCCAGATTAGGGTACTGACCTGAATCAAGGGAAAAATTTATAACATGAGAAATTGCCAGAAGAAGGTGCTCTAGCATAAATACTACCATTTGTCTATTATCTCATAATAACCCACCGTCTTGGACTTTTTGACATCATCCAGAGAAACAAGAGAGAAAGTAAAGGTAGGTATATTAGGAATTTGCACAGAAGCAATGGAAGCCACAGTTTGAGGGCGAATTGTAGGGTCCATTGCTGTTACAAAATCGAAATGTTGGTTGACTTCATCAAGTGATAGAGAAGGACCACAATCCAATGTAGCTGGCCTGCAAAGACCAAAAGATCTAAGAAATTTCCACACTTCAGCGGGAGAAGAGTTGTTAATACAATTATGGAAATATCGGCGTTTAGCTGCCCGTACCATTTGATTGCACATATTCCTGGCTGCTTTAAAAGATAACCAATTTTCTTTATTACGTTCTCTCTTAAAACGAAGAAAAGCTCGATTAGGTCTAGACATAGCCAACCTTACGCCCTCTGTCATCCATGGGGCTGGAGGACGCTTCAATCTAACCTTATGAACTGGGGCATGAGCATATGTGAAGGTCCACACATTGTTCAATCCAAAATGAATGCGTGCTTTTTTATGAACAGATTGCCTTATTTTGGTTAAAAACTCTGACACCGATATTTGAGAGCCCTTTACTTAGTTCTAGCCTTCCACACCTCAGACTTTGTGCGATGATCTTGAAATTGTACAAGAATTGGCCGTGAATGACCATCCTTTTGAACACCAATTTGATGAGAACGTAAAAAGGATAAATTTGTTACAAGTGGAATAATCATTTTATTTTGTATGATGCCCAGTATTTCTTGTCCAACATTAAGTTCAGGAGAATCAGAGACCCCATTAAATAGGAGAATGTTCTGCCTATGCTGCATATCAATAACATCAATTGTCATAGTGCAGGCATGAATCTGTTGCCGAAGGAGAGGTTAACAACGTCTTTGAATTCATAAAACTCCTCACGGAGTTGATGAAGAGAAGTATTACTTGGCGTAGAAGCAGCCTTTAATCTGTTTTCAAAATCAGCCATCTTGCGGCTCCAGCTTCCTTCAAGTTCTCTCTGCATGACCTCCACATCAGATACTTTTGCCATTGCTTGCAATATTTCCAGTGATATCAGTGAAGTGCCAGTGAGTGATATAGTTTGCAAAAAGAAGTTACACTAATGGGTGGTATGAGTAAGTCACAAATATTTTTATCTGGACATGTATTTTAATATGACTTCCAAAGAAAAGGTAATAAAAATGTGGTACTAAATACTTCGTACACATCAAGTAAAAATTTTGCTTTTGTCTGTACTGTGTACTCGGGCCGCCCGAAACAAAGTAGACGGTTTCAAAATTAGATCTAATCCATTTTAATATTGGATCTAAGTGACTCCAAATTGCGGCAGGTTGATGATTGATGCGGAAATACTGCAAAACGAATTGACTTTAAAACCTCTTACAGAATCACTGTCAAAGTTATTCTGTAAGAGGTTTTAAAGACTACAACCGTGTGAAGTGAAACGTGTTTACGTGATTCTCCAAAATGATGTGATTGTACTTCCTGGCTATACTTACAACTATAGTTTTCACTAAAGCCCGCGACCACAACGCATTCATTCAAACGAAAGTTCAAGACACAAACGAAATTTTTTAAATTGTGTGTTAATATTAAACGCGTGCCTTTTAAATGCTGCAAGGTCGCTCTCAAATCTTTTTATAAATATACCTGCTTGTTTATTTTTATCTTCTTTTATATTATTAATAGTTTATGTTTTCCATCTTTTGTGTATTTTTCTTCCTTTTTTACCCATTCAGTCCATGTTATTGAAACTTTTACATTTTTAATAAAATAATATTTTTATTAGTGACACACTGAATGCATATGCCATACGTGCAGTGTTTGGACTCTGTACTGCAAATTGTTGATTCTATTAGAATATTTAAGTTATCGGTGCCTGTAATGCCATTTCATTTTGAAGCTTTTGCCTTATAGGCAAAGTATGCATGGGTTTTGCATAGGCACATATCTCAGGCGTCGATAGAGGCACTTACGACATAAAAAGGTTTACTCTTAGTAAAATGTCCACGTTTGCGCAGCGCGTAAGTTTATTACTTCAACTTTACGAAACAAGCACTGATTCTGCAGTAACGCGCCATTAATGAGGGCATCTACGACTTTTTCTGCCACCAGGACGGCGCCACTTTACAATAAGGTAAATTATTTGACAGATTTCATAGCGGGAAGATATTTTTTTTAGAAAAGTGTAAAGGTTAATGTTTCTTTCTGTATTATTAGTTATGTTTAATATTAATTGCATTAAAAATAAATACACCAAACTATAAAATTAACTAAATGTATTTTTTAAAAGAGCACTGACGCATTGTGTTGTGTATTAACATAACACTAGAAGCTGATGAACTATTATTTAGAATTATTGAATTAAAGAAAACTTTACCTCAGTCACAACTAGCGACATCTAGTGAGTGGAAAATTATTAGCCCTCATTCATTCACTAAGAACTTATATTTTAATTTATTTGTAAATTTCACCATTTTTTGGCCCCTGTTTTTAAAAGTTCAATAGCATTTTATGTAAATAATTTTATACTTATTATATTTATTAGTATTTTATAATAGGTTTCGTCTTAAGAATGAAGATAAATTCCGAAATTGTAAGTAAGTTAACGTACCTGAATCAGGAACACATACAAGTTCTACATCACAGAATTTTAACTGTTACTAACATATTAAAAAAAAACAAGTGTTAAAATAATTCTAAAGCAGAATAATTACACTCACCTCTCCTGGTACGCGACTTCCTTCTCGCGTGCCTTTTTCTCGAGCCGCTTCTTCTCGCGCGCTTCTTCCTCCATCTCCTTCTCCCGGCGAGCATCGGCTTCACTTCTACTGCGACCTCTAGACTTTTCTCTATCTCGATCCCTCTCCCTCTCGCGATCTCGGTCACGTGATCGTTCTCTTTCTCTTTCCCGTTCTCTTTCGCGTTCCCTTCAAAATTAAAAGAACATACATAAAAACACCGCACTTATAATTTATATAATGCAGTAAATTATAAAATAATTATAAATGGGTGCAGTGTACACCTTCAGAAAAGTAAAAAAAAAAGTGGGGAAGCTACGAACCGCACAAAGAGGAGGCCATATGAAACACTGTCTATTGAATTATATCTCCTTTTTTCGCAGGCTAAATCCAATAGATGTATAATATGTTTGTCTCTTTTAGTGTCGCTTTTTCATTTCATCGAGTTTCAAATCACAACGATGCTAAAGAAGTTTTATCTTTAGTAAGTTTTAGTTATAAGCTTACATGTATTTTGACATATTAATATTTCATTCATAGACTTAGATCATACTGGCATAATTCCATTGTACTTTTGACATTATTATTTACTGTCCATGTTTGTTGAAATATTTCATTGTACGATGTTTATGCCCAAAAATGGTCATTTTGAGACGGCACCCAATCACGTTCGACTTGGAGAATCGGCCGATGGTGCCAGGTGTCACGCGTGTTGCGGGGAGGGGGCAGCGGAAGGGAGCTTCCCAGCATTTTGGCGCTGTCGGGCGAGACAGTAGTTGGAGTAGCTCGACGGCGGCTGGGCAGTTAATTGGTGTCTCTCGATGCCCGCCGCTGAGGTTTCGCGAGACCGGTTTTTTTTTGGATTAGGGTCTAGAATTTTGAAAATTGTGCGCGTGACTTCGCTACGTAATTGTGTTTCGTGAAAACCGCCTTGTTTTAGGTTGTCTAGGGTCTAAGTTCTTGACAAGAGGCTTGTATTGTGTTTGACTGATTAAAGTAACTTCTTTGAAAGTAATTGTGAAAATCAGATAGTGAATGCGTGTTGAAGTGAATTTTGTAATATTTAACTTGCTCGTGTGACGTGAAATTGCGCGAGCACCTTTTAGAGATACGGTTTAGTATTTTGACAGCGCATTCCTTTTTTCGAGGGCGTCGCCGGTTGACTGTTTTGGAGATCATTGTAATTGTGCCGTCGCATTAAGTGGCCTTTTTTGTGTGTTGACTGTTTTGTTAGTTTTACGTGTCAACGAAGCAGATTTTGAATTCTTATCGCGGCGTAGTATTTGATATTGAACGAAGGAACTTGTTGTGTTTAACGCCGAACCGTGTGACTCATGAAGAGATCGCGTTAGTTCTCTATTTGTAATTTTGGTGATAAATGAATCCGGGACATTGAATGTTGAACTTTGAACTACTGTCCGTTACTGTGTCGGGTATCACGTGTTCGATTCTACGATGAATATGGAATTAGGCGAGTTTAAGTTAGTTAAATGTACAATGAAGTTAATAGACTGAAATAGTGACATGAAGAAAGAAATGGTCCAGCGGGGAAGCCTGCTGGAGTGATGCAGCATTGTGGGGCAGCATGGAAATCGGCCGCTGCCGGTCACCTCAGCTGGGCCAGGCCTCAGACACATACACATCACTAAACACTACTTTCCATGCACCTTACACCCACCTACGGCCTGACCGAGCCTTGGGGCGGTCTTAGATTCGGATACAGGTACGTACTATATTTTTCTAGTCTTCGCCCTACAGTTTAGTATGATAGGACATTTTTCCATATGGCCATTTGGGCTCGAACCCGCGGCTGCCCGTTGAATCTTCCGCTCATGGGCCCCGGGGTATTTGAACTTTGCAGGGGCAGCTGTGGGCCGTAACATATGACATTATGATTTATTATCCGTGTTATTTGATTTGATTTAATGAATAATGAGAATATATATAATAATGAGAGCCTTAACCTAGGCAGGTTGTGGTGATACTCAATTACTTGTATAATGTTAAATCTCTCAAACCTACAACTATCACAATAAATGACTTATTCTATTCCATACTATTCTAGTATTTATAAATTTTGTGTGTTGTGTTGTTTCGTTTTGTAGGGTTCCGTACCTCAAAAGGAAAAAACGGAACCCTTATAGGATCACTTTGTTGTCCGTCTGTCTGTCTGTCTGTCTGTCAAAAACCTTTTTCTCAGGAACGCGTGGAGGTATCAAGCTGAAATTCATATCAAATACTCAAGTCTACTGTTCCTTGGAGCTGTGAAAAAATCAAACTTCTAAGCCAACGCAATCAAAAGATACAGCCGTTTATGCCGCAAATATTATGCCGCAAGGGAATCAAAACCTACAGGGTACTTCCCGTGTACTCAGAATCTTAAAATTTGGTACGAAGCAACGTATTATAGCACAGATAAAGGAAAAATTGCGAAACGCATAAATTTTTAGTTACATCATATAATAAAAATATTTTTAATTATTTACCTACGGATTTGTTCGGAACCCTCGGTGCGCGAGTCCGACTCGCACTTGGCCGGGTTTTTTTTAAACTTCTTAGTTTTTACTTTAAAAGTATAAAATATCGAACAGTCTCTAAATAAAGTGCCCAAGTCTGCTACTGCGCTAGTCAATCCGCCCACCAAGCGTAACCGTTAAGACAAATTCTTCCGACAAAGGGAGGGACTCGTGTCCACTTGTTGGTGTACCTTTACGGGCTGATGAAGAAGAAGAAGAGATCGTAGTAACAACGAGAATTAAAAAAATACCGCTCACTGGGTTTTCTCCTGTATCGTGGAGGCAGAAATATAACAATTAAAGTGTTTATATAACATTAAAATATATACAATATTTAAAAAAAAACTAAAACTAGAAACGTAAATAACCATATAGTCCTATTCCACACGCTATAGCGCCAAGAACTCAGGCCGCGTTTCTTCGCTGAATGGCCATACTTAGCCCTTGATTGAGAAAGGAACCAGCCCTCTTATCACAATAAAATATGTGAAATCCCATTACCGTGTGCCTCCGGCCCTTAAGTCCCTCTCAATCTCGTACCGCGTGCGGATATACGGATGGATACAAAGTCTCACACACTGCACCACCATGGTGGAAGCTACGCACATTACAGCTCTAGTGTAGTTTACATTGCACTCCGATAACATTTGACAACGTTTAACTTTTGTTAACGATTAATTTATTTTTTAACATTTCACTTGATTTCCTTAAAAACCTCCACAAAATTTTACACACTGTTCACTCACATTTTAAATATTTTATATTGAATGAAACTAATTGTACGGGTTTTATCGCGTTTAGTTTAACTTATTTAAGTTTTTTTAATTCCACCACTGGAGGGACTAAGGTGTCGGACGTCCCGATGTCATAGACAGCCTGGCTACCTTCAGCTTTAAAAAAATGAATATTTAACATCTGTAATTACCATATTCTAACAAATAAATGATATTCTATTCTATTCTTTAAAAGCTAAAGCACCCGAAAGCCGGGATAACACCCCAAACGTCGGGAAATAAAGTTAAAATTAAACGCGATAAAATCCGTAAAATTAGTTTAATTTAATGTGTAGTATTCGCGTAAATATAAGAGATCATTATTCAAGCATTACAGGTATATCTAACGAGTGCAACATTATGATAATCGCCGAACAAACTTAAATCAACTGCACTGATTTAAAACTATAAGGCAATAAAAGGGAACGCGTGCACTTCGTGTTGACGTTGTCATCGTACCAAGTACTATCGCGACTGTACAGGTGGCGCGATAACTTGCGATAACGCACCGAACTATAAAATGTTAAGTTAATTGCAGTGTAACGACTACTTGACTCCGCGCTCAGTATGAACCGAGAACAGGCTCCGGTATAAGCTCACACTTAATCTATTTCTTTATAGGGTGACAAACGAGCACACAGTCCACCTGAAGGTAAGTTATTGCTGTGGCCCATAAACATCTACATCTATCCTCGTTTGCGAATCAAAATGCAGATGCGTTGTCAGCCGTGAGGACTAAGATGGAATGCCTCTTTTCCACTAAAAAGGGTCTTCGGTTATCTACGCTCACCATACGAAACACAGCAGTGTTAAGCTGCTATTTTACGTTGCTTTTCTGTGAGAGCGTGGTCCTTCCCCGGTCGAGCCGACCCATTCGTGCTACAACTATACTACCAATATAGCTGCAGCATGGCTCTACCACGTATATCTATACCTATAAATAAATCAAAATGTCTTTAACGGTACTGTAGCTGGTCTAGACACCGCGCAATAAGATGTACGCCACTGTAGCATAAAGTGTAAGATAAAGTCCACATTCGCCTCAGCGAACATCCATAACGCGCAGCTAAATTTGAGCAGCTCCATCAGTATCCTGAATGAATTATTATTAAGGTTGCCAGACGTCCTTTATTTTAAAGGACGTCCTCTATTTCAGACCCAAAAATTGATCTCGTCACTTAATTTGAAATCTTTAAAACAGAACAAGGCAATATCGCACGAATTCGACATTGCCTATGCTAATTGAGGTCAAAGAATGACGGCTCCATGGCGCAGTGGCTTAGCAATGAGTTGATGCGCTGGGGGCCGCGGGTTCGAATCACGCACGTAACAAGTGTTTGTATGGCCTGCAAATAATTGTTCCGGGTCTGGATGTTTGACCTTGTGAAAGGACAATGGCAGAAAAATAGTTGACAAAAATTATATCGTCTAGAAATAAGTTATATATAAAATGAGTTTTATTATTTTTCTATGATTTTTCAAACAGAAATGTATTTTAATGACTTAAATCATTTTACTCTATTCAAGTGTTGCCATTTAGTATATTCATACTATTTTCGTATACACTTTGTAAGACTACCAACACAACACACAAAATATTTTTATATTAAGATATTATTAGTAATAACTATACTTTCAGTAATAATAAAAATAAAATTGATATGGTTGAGTTATCTCAATCATAGTACTATGAAACAATTCCATTTAATGTTATGGCAACACTAGCTAAAACAAAATGTCACTGTTGAGTTTTGGCGGGAAATTGACCGGCGGCGGTTTGCTGCTCCTGTATTATTGTTTAAATAATGGTTTGAAGTGGACTTTGATATGTAAAAGTGTTGCGATTTTGTGTATTAAGTGTCTACGCATGTGAACTATTAGTGGAAACAGTGAAACAAGTGCTCTGATGGTGATGGATTCTCAAGATAAGCTGTTTGTTTGCATAGGCACCTTTAGATACCATCGCCAACTATCAGCTGTCTGCTGGATCAAGTTGCCGCCAAAATCTCCCAAGAACTGCACAATGTGACGCATCAACATATTGTGAAGCAGTATACTATGAAGGAGTGGGGAAATTACAATAAACCGAATAAAAATACTTAAGACTTGGCCTAAAGGTCTAGATACCAGGCCATAAACTCCAAAAAAAAAATGTCACTGTGTTTTTTACTGGCTTTACGGCTCTGGGTTCTAGCCCCTCTGAGAATGTCACTATGACACAAAGGTCCTGGAGCCATGCCAGAAATATACATTTATAGTATGCAAATATATAATAGAGATACAATAATCTAAAAACTCTTAGTTATGTATTATGTATTAAGCTAACATCAAACAATCACAGGAAGCATGAATTTTTCCAAGTGACATAAGACAACCTAAAAAGGTTCAAATCTAAATATCTTTTTTTGACTCAGGACAAAATTCTTTGACAGAGTTATTATGGGTGTGACGCTTAACATTTTAAGATATTTTTGATATATAGACGCTACAATTCCTTCTCAACTAATTTTATGTATGAAAGTCTGCCATTGTACTTTATATATGTAAACTGCCCCCACGATACAGAAAATCCTAGCGAGAAATAATTTAAAAATCACTTTGAGGTTACGCACGATGTTTTTATATTAATAAATGTTGTCACATATACCATATATGATAACAGCTTAGGATATAATATGATATCCTTAATTTTTATTCTGTGACCTTTATTTAGTATTATCAATTTCTCTAAAACATGAAGCGGCATGGCAACCCTGATTACGCGCAAGGTTTTTTTTTCATAGCATAAGGGTGACAAATGAGCACACAGTCCACCTGATGGTAAGTGGTTGCTGCAGCCCATAGACATCTACATCTATACTCTATTACAAATCAAAATGCAGATGCGTTGTCATCCGTGACGACTAAGATGGAATGCCTCATTTCTAGTAAAAAGGGTCTCCGGTTCTCTACACTTACCATACGAAACACAGAAGCGTTAAGCTGCTATTTTACGCTGGTATTCTGTGAGAGCGTGGTCGTTCCCCGGTCGAACCGACCCATTCGTGCTACAACTGTACTACTAATATAGCTACAGCATGGCTCTACCACGTAAAAATGCTGCTATAATACGGTGCTATACTATTTCTGCGTGCAGTCTAACCACAGGCTGCTCGTTTAGAAGGACTGCCTCGTTGGTATAGTGGCCGTACACGCGGTTGCTAATTATAGTGTCCCGAGTACGAATCTCGGATCGTGTCAAAATCAGTTACGATGTTTTTCTGTCAAGAAGTTCTCTATAGCAACTAGAAGTCAGGAAGTTGGCGGCGTTTCACTCCCGTAGTAAAGCCGTAGGTCTTGCACTTGATCTCTCTCCGGGCAAGTGTTACTGTCCCATCGGACTATGAGAGTGACGGACTAGAGAGTGCACCTGTGCTTGCGCATACACTCGTGCATTATAACCCTGTCCTACGCAGATGGCTGGTCTAAGTTGAGACTGGCCGTCGTGACCGAATTTCGATTTATTCATTATAAGAAGGAAGTGCAGTATCTTCTGAAAAGCGTGACATTGACTAGCACGGAACAACGAGCGAACCTGTGGGCGATCATGTTCTCTCCTTCTATCCCTAATAGTTATCACTATATTCATGTACTAAAGATCTCATCCGTGTACTGCAATTATAACGAGTACAGTTTGTTGTAAATTGTTTATTATTTCTTCTATTTTAGCTTAATGCTGCCGTGTTTCGTACGGTGAGCGTGAAGCATTCCATCGTAGTCCTCATGGGTAACGACGCTTCTGCATTTTGATTCTTAATCGAGGACAAATATAAGTGTGAGTGTCCTTGTTCTACAGCATCCAATTACCATCTGGTGACTATAAGCTCGTTTGTCGCTCTGAAGAATAGATTCTCAAATACCGCACTTCGACAATAATAGGAGAAATAAAATCTTACCTCTCTCTATCGCGTTCACGCTCGCGTTCCTTTTCTCTTTCTCGTATTTCACGTTCCCTTTCTCGCTCACGAATCTCTCTGTTGTGAACATAAGCTTGAATAAGAAACCTTAACGATCGTAATTGCTACAGATACTCAAAAGATTATATCCATAATAATAAATACTAAAAAAAATTAAATAAAAACAGAAAATATATGCGGCAAATATTCTTTTTTCAAATTCAATTTACATATTATTTAGGTATAATAAGGCATATTTAATGAAATCTGATAGCTACTACTACTACTAAACACTAAATTCAAAATCATTGCTTAATTTTGTGTTCCTAAAAGATTGTAAAAAGAAAGAATTGATAACAAGAAATCAATACATCACCTCTCCCGCTCTCTCTCGCGTTCTCTCTCGCGCTCTCTGTCCCTCTCCCTCTCCCTTTCTTCGCGTTCCCGCTCTCTCTCCTTGTCACGATCGTCGCGACGATCCTTAGTCCTGTATAAAAAACACATATAATTTATTTATTTAATATGTTGTACACTATTCCAATCAAGAAAAGAAACTTTGTAAAACAACCGTCTCGATAAACAAATTGAGCATTTTGTAATTAATTATTACCACATTACATATTTCATGTTAAAATAAAAGAAATAATAAGTCACAAAAAATATAAAAACAAAAGTTAAAACAATTTTAACATTACAATTAAAATTATGTAGAGATGGAAAATTAAACCATGGATACCTTAATACTTGTTATTAGTTTTTAACCACTGATTTTTTATTTTTTATTACAGCCTATAAAAATTCACTACTGAATATAGGCCTCCCCATAGATCGCCTCATATGAATGATTATTGCCATAGATGCCATACTTAGATGAGATTAAAATGCCTGAACAACATAAAAAAACCAGAGAAAAGGACTAAAAATCTTGAAGGTATACTCCACCAAATCTAAGGAATACCTTCTGACAGCGGTCACATTACTGGACTAGGCGTTCCAACTGACAAATCGGTACAGCTACAATATTCGAATCTTAAGAGAAATTTACATCGATACTTTAGTTTGTTACCCATATTCTATTAAAAAAAACAACTATTACTCGTAATTAATTAATAGAATAGAATAGAATAGAATAGAATAGAATAGAATAGAATGATTTTTATTCAATATGGATTATTACATAATACTTATTGAAAGTCATTATTTTATTTACCACTGGTTCGGAAAATACCTCTGTCCTGGGAAGAACCAGCAAGAAACCCAGCGGGACTTTTTTTTTAAACATAATTTCACTTAACAATAATTTTGATTATACAATTTTAAATGAATTTTCATAGAACCAGCATGGTGGCGATCACCTTATTCCCAGGGGTTATTTTCACTCATGTATTCCTTGATATTATAATAACCCTTTTTGTACAGTTTTTCTTTAATAAAACTTTTAAACTTGTTTATTGACAAACTTTGAACATGTTCTGGGATTCTGTTGTAAAAGCGTATACATTGCCCCATAAATGAATTACTAATTCTGTGGAGTCTTGTAAGTGGCATTACAAGCTTATGTTTGTTCCTAGTGTTTAAGGTATGAACATCCTTATTCTTATTAAAGCTATTTATGTTTTTATGTACATACATTACATTTTCATAAATATATTGCGATGCCAAAGTTAATATGTTTATTTCTTTAAATTTTTCTCTAAGGGACTCTTTACAATTTAGATTATAAATCGCCCGTACGGCTCTCTTTTGCAAAACAAATATAGCTTCAATATCAGTCGCATTACCCCATAGCAAAATTCCATAAGACATTACGCTATGAAAGTAACTAAAATACACTAACCTAGCTGTCTCAACATCTGTGAGACTTCTAATCTTTCTTACAGCATATGCTGCAGAACTAAGTCTGCTTGCTAATTTAGATATATGGGGGCCCCATTGAAGTTTCGCGTCAATAGTAATACCGAGAAAAACAGTGGTATCCACAAGACTCAACTCCTCCCCATTTAAGAGCACATTGGTTTTCGAATGTTTTACATTAGGTATTGTAAATTTAATACATTTTGTCTTATTGCCGTTTAAGAGCAAATTGTTGGCGTTAAACCAATGTACTAGTTTCGATAGAGCATTATTTACATCGTCATATTTAATTGACTGCCGTTTCAGTTTGAAAATTAAAGAGGTATCGTCAGCAAATAATACTATATCGTGATTGTCCCCTACAATAATAATACCTACGTGTTTAGTCTTTTTTCTTATCAAAATAGCAATAGAAACTCGTCCCACTTCGCACGGCTGCACTAGTGTAGTATTATTTTACTACTTAATCACAAAACATCAACATTTCTTTATTATTGTACAGAAAATTAGATGTTACATTTTGTTAATGAAAATTTGTACATTCTGCCTAGTTATGGTTCTACATAAAAAGTTGCTACAAACCTGACTGGGCTCGTTCTACGCCTCTCTCTCTCGGTCTTCTCTCTTTCCCGCTCGCGGTCGCGCTCCTTATCTTTGTCCCGCTCGCGCTCATCTTTGTTGTCTCGCTTGCGCCTCACCACCACATCGGCCTCCTCCTGCACCAAAATCGCGCTCGCAAACGAACAAACAATCACCCCGCCACATGCATACATTTTAGCGATTTTGTTTCTCCATACTGGTGTTACTGACCTATATCTAAGTAAAACTTTCAAATAATTGTACTATACAAGGTTTAATTCTCCTCTAGAACTTTGTAAAATGGTAAATTATATTGTTAAAAATATATGGAAAATAATCGTTCACGATAATTGTTCATTCGAACTATAATAGATTTTTAATAAGCTTCCGAGACACTAAAGCACGTAATCTTCTTACGTTTATTTCTATATTTTTTATTATTTTATATTATAACACAATCATCGAACATGATAAATTTAATTAATTACTTAATTTTAGATTTATACAAACATTTCTTACCACAAGGTGAAGTGAAGACCATTCCAAGAAGTTCAACACAAGGAACTTTATTAGGACCACTATTTTAAATAACATATATGTACATCTAAACTAAGATTTGGCTAGATATTTAAAACTCATAAATTATGTAATTCGTATTATTTATTCCAAAAATTATTTAACTTATAATGCAAGGCGGCAGGATTCTATTTCTGCCTAGGAGTCGGTCCGGTTAGGTACCGCCTCTTACCTATTTCCGCCACCAAACAGCAGGGTACAAACGCGCAGGCAGCAAGCAATTACAGGCTGTAAGGCATTCTATCTTTGTCCTCAGTGGTGACTACAGATGTAGCCTTCGTTGCCATGGGCCTGGCACCCATTCTTTTTTGCCACTGCGATGGGACCATAAGGTGGCCTGAAGTTCTTTGCCACTTCAATTTGGTAAACAAAATCTTACGTGTGGTGAAGTGTGTAAATGAACTAAATACAGTCATCACCGCTGCTCACAATAGAGCTGGTTTCTTTCCCGCTCAAAGGCTAAGTACAGCTATTCAGCGAGGAAACACAGCTAGCGTACTTGGCACAATAACGCGAGGAATAGAATTGTATAATAATTTTAGTTTTAGTCCTTTACTATTATAATTTATATTGAATATAATTATTTTAATTTGAAAAATCCCAGAACTATTAAATTATAATTTTTTTGTATAAATCAAACAGAAAATCTGAATTTCGATTAAATTCGATCGTAAATTTAACTTGTCGTAAATTTTGATTTCTTTGAAAGTATACAATATTTGGTGAAAATTAAAACTAATTTGTAGCAAAAAAGGGTGTTTATGGTTCGTAACACTAATATAGAGAAATGATTTTGAGTCGGCATTGCACATATAGCGGGGGCTCGGTGTGTATTGTAAATAAGTATGTAAATATGTAAAGTCCTTGCGAAGCTTACGTTGGACGCGCGCCTCTACACCGCCTCGCCGCAGCCCGCGAGCTCCGCTAGAGACAGTCACGAGCGTTACAATCGAGACTAACCTCGCCAACATACATTATATCGTCCAACTTTCATTAGTATCTACTGATTGCAAAACAAACGTTTCATACGTTCGATATATTGCAGAGGCGAACATGCAGAAGGTAATTGTAAAAGTTCAAAAATACAATTCGTCAGTTTGCTTCGAATTGTGTGAATTTGAATGTTCGTCTCGGCCGGCGCCGTGCGGGAACGAGCACGCGGCCTTGTGAAAGAGATGTAAGTGGCGGCCAACTACGGGGACTTCGCGAGGTATATTAAATCAAATTAATCACATAGTATAACAAAAAAATTTGAAAGCTGAAAAAGAGATATCGCGATTCGGTTTAAAGCAGTCGTAAACGAGAATGAAATGTTAGACTAGAGATAACAGATATGTCACAAAAAAGTGGTCGCGATGTCCCCATGGCAGGCTCACAGCTGGGAGTGTAAGGAGAGTGCGGAGCTAACAGGCGGTCTCACTCAGATTGACGGCGGCGAAGTCACGGCGCGATGTCGCCCGGCTGCTCCCGGCGCCTCCACTCCCCCCCCCACCCCCCCCACCCCCCACGTCTCAACCCCTTCCCCACCCCAGCGCCCAAACGCGCGCGCACATTACGCTACACAATTTATACGAATTCGGTTCGACTCACGCGGCTGCTTTATTTTGACCAATTTTTTTTTATAAAGAACACTCGTAAAAAGCTAACATACTGTTAATCACTTCATATAAGCTTAAGAACCTGTTAAAAGCGTCTTATTAATTGAAGCGTCAGAAGCCTAATGGCAGGGCACGGACCGCGAACTCGAAAGGTCGTGGGTTCGAATCCGCCATTCGACTACTGTCGTGAACCACTTCTAACACAAGCATTTTAAGCTTACCAGAAATGGTTAAAGGGAATATTAGTAATGTTTAATCACATTACTAGTATTTTACCACAAAAAATAAAAGTAAACCAAAAGCACATACGAGACTTCTGTAATTAAACTGTGAATTATCATAACAAATAATCGACTCATCTAGTACTATTTCGCAGACCGTACACGAAATATCTATTCGGCATGAAAATGTTTACTTCTTAGTTAAATTTACAGTGTAGTGCAAAATGTGCGGGGGCGTTCGGTCGCGACCGAGACTCGCCACTCACAAATGCGAGGCCACGGCCGACGGTCGGTCGACGAGCACGTTTCATTTCATTAAAACACCCAATGTAACTATTCTAAAAATTAAATTCACAAAAAAACAATATTTGAACTACGAATCGTCCTCGTCGACTCAAAACCGTAAATTTTTAACAGAATAAATAAAGATCGTAATAAATTCGTGTTAATCGAGACAGAAACGATCAAACTTTAAATCACACTGTCATATCTTCAATTAAAATGAAGGTTATTGCATTTAAGTTTTTTTTTGTCGATAGTATAAATACAACAAAAAAAGGTTAAAATAAATTGATAAGCAATGTATCTCGAGTAACTCGAAATTCGAGTAAAATTTGTAAAATAGCGAAAATTTATATCAGATATTTAATAAGCATAATATAAATATCGGAAAAAAAATAATAAATATATATATATACATATATAAAGTTCAAACGAAATGAAGAGTTTAATATTACGAAATAACCAAGAATAAGGAACAAATAATAATAGTATTAAATAAGATGAACGCTAACAACCCGGCGAGCTTCGTTGTTGCAGGACCATCACAAATTCATTACATTTCAAAAAACCGAGACAGAAACGATAATGGACTTTACAACAAATCTTTACATCAAAAATGAGAAAAATAATAAAATGGTGTGTATTATCTAATTCGAGGAGTGCAGCCGACTTGAATTATAAATAGAAACTTTTTTTATTCAATATAAATTATAAATAATACTTACCGAAAGCCATTTCTTATGTTTAATTTACCACTGGTTCGGAAAATACCTCCGTTCTGAGAAGTATCGTCAAGAAACCCAGTGATAATTTAAAAAAAAAAAACAATTTACAGTCATATAATATTATTTTACACAATTAATTACACAAAACAAATGGAAACAGTTTGGCTGATTATTTTATGGCTGGATATTACACAATTAATTACACGATATCACCTCATTCTCAGGAGTTTATCATCCATAAATTCCTTAGTAATATCATAATAACCCTCTTAATACAATCTATTTTTAATAAAGATTTGAACTTAGCGCAGAACAAATTTTGTATATTTTCTGAAATATTATATATCGCCCCAAGAATTAATTACTGGTTGTAGAATCAAGTAACTGGTACTACTAGCTTATGTCAATTCCTAGTATTTACAGAATGAATATCACTTATTTTACTAAAACTACTTTTATTTTTGTGCATGTATTTTCGTAAACGTTTGGAGAGGATAAAGTTAATAATATTGATTACCTCAAATTTTTGTCTGAGCGACTCTTTAGGTTTTAAATCATAAATTTCTCATGAGGCCCTTTTCTGCCAAACAAATATAAACTCAGTGTGAGTCGTGTGACCCCATAGTAAAATACCATACGACATTATGCTATGGAAATAGCTAAAATAAACTGTTTCAACGCTGGTGAGATTTCTAATATTTTTACACCATACGCTGCAGAACTAAGTTTGCTTGCTAATTTAAATATATGGAGACCTCATTGAAGCTTTACGTCTAGTGTAAATCCAAGAAAAATCGTGGTATCGATACAACTGAAATCCTTGTCATTTAAACATTTGGAAACATTTTTATATTTGCAGTAATGAATTTCATACATTTAGTTTTAGAGACATTTAAATGCAAATTATTAACGTTAAACCAATTTACTAATTTAGATATAGCATTATTTATTTCGTCATATTTTAGTAATTGTCGCTTTAGTTTAAAAAATAATGAACTATCATCAGCAAATAATACAATATCATGGTTATACTCTACTAAGCAAGGTAAGAGGGCCGACAGTTGAGCCCTGAGGCACGCCCATTTGTACTATCTCAACTCTTACTATTGGTGACAACATTTTGCGTTCTGTTACTGAAATAATAAAATCAAGAGCATCACTTCTTACACCATAGTGTTGTAGTTTCCTGATTTATCTCATGGTGAAAACAATCAAAGGCTTTGCATAGGTCACAGAATATACCCAGAGCATCCTGTAAATTCTCGCAAGCATTTAAAATAAGTTTGATCAGCTAAACACCACAGTTATCGAGTGACAGACGACCTCTTGAGAAACCAAATTAGTCTTTATAAAGTAAATTATTTACATTAAAAAAAAATTAACATTTGATCAAGAATAATTTTTTCAAAAATTTTACTTTGTGGTACAAAAATTGGTCTAAAACTGGAGGGGTCTAATGTACTTTCAGATATAAATAAAGATACTTTACGATTTTATTTATTATAGTCGCAATAACTTTAACGCAAAATCCCCAACAGATCTGCGGTTTTCTTAATACCAATAGTTTTAAAATATTTTACAAATTTGATACTTAATGAAACATAAAAGTCTTTGTACACGTCATTACATTTTGTTTGAGTTATTCGGCGACGGCAGAAGAACAATTCAGTTACTTTGTGGTTAAGATCGGAATTTCAGTAAAATATTTCTCATAAGCAATTGCAACGTTTAAATCCGATTTAGTTCATTTATTGTTAAAATTTAATTGGTAGCTTGAATTGCTTAACTTTGTTTTACCAATGTTTAATTTTAATTTTATGAAAAGCCGTCTTACCTTTGTTGCTCAAATGCAAAAATTCACAAGAACAAAAGATACTCTTTTAAATATTTATGATTTTTTTTCTATCCAACAGTAACGTGCACAATAGTCGTGTATTTATGAGTATATAGAAGTTATATAGATGTAAGTGATGTCGGTAATGATAGTGCACACAATCAAGACAGGGAAGGCGATACTCTTCAAACCAGATAATATCACGCCATTTTTTGATCTCATCAGAATACCTTTCTCATCTTCACATAGTTAAGAATGTTCAAAATGCAACGTTATTTAGAAATAGATTACTACTGAAAGTATATTTATATCTGGTCCTGCACGGCTCTGGTGTAGACTCACCGGGCCCGGTGGCGCTACCTGTCGGCGGTACTTGGCGACTGCACCACCATTACCACCGGACTCCGGACCGACAGTAACTACCACCCTACGCTAGACCCTTCGGCCGAGACACCGTGCCATCCAACTCCCTAAGTCACTCACCTAATCTCACAATCACCGCGTCTACCGGCGCTGAAGTCTCACTCTTTCCCTCCTGCCCGTGAAAGAACAAGAGAAAGCGACTCGCTATATTTTACATCGTCATACCTTGACCAAATAACTCATAAAAACACACAAGTTAGATTACAATCGTTCAAATTTTGTTCTCGCCGAGATGTCTTTGGCGTGTCAAAATTTGAGCCATCTGTCATAAATGACATTAAATTAAATTATTTAAAAAAAGTCATAAGACCTGATAGACTGACCCTAAAATATGACAGTATCGGTATGCGGTGGTGCCTCAGTGGTTAAATTACCTTCATGCTCTCCCGAAACTTGCCGATCTCACGGTGTATGACATCGCGCTTCTCCTCAGATATATCGGCCTCCTCCAATACGCGAGCCGTTTTCGATATTGCCTCCTCTGCAACAATGAAATTAAATTTACTTGTATATGTTATTTGTTTGTATTATGTTATACGTGGTAAAGCCACGCTGCAGCTATAGTGTGGTTGTAGCACTGTGTGCAGCACGAAGGTTCAGCTTGAGCAGGGAAGAACCACACTCTCACAGAATACCAGCATAAAATAACACCTTAATGCAGCTGTGTTTCTTATGGTGAGTGTAGAAAACCGGAGACCTTTTTTACTGGAAATGAGGTATTCCATCTTAGTCCTCGGAGGTGACAACGCATCTGCATTTTCAATCTTAATCGAGGATAAATGTAGATGTCTATGAGCCACAGCATCCACTTACCATCAGGTGGACTATGTGCTCATTCGTCACCCATATTGAATACAAAAGAATCCAATTCCGAAATAGCTGTTGCTATTCTAGAGGCTTGTCTACTGCTATAGGCTGGGTTATCTCATACGCCTAATGTTTTTATTTTATTTAAAATACTCGTGTAAGGAACCTATATTATGGTTTTGGCATTTGTTGACATAGATAATGAAGATAAACTGGATCAGTGGCATCAATGAAAAGATTTTAATGGTAGTTGAGGATCCATTTGAAGAGTACGGACAATGAGAGTTTGAGGCCTTAATAATAATAACAAAATGTTGCAATTAGTTTGTAAAAGCAGTTTTGGATTGCAAGAGCAAATATGCTATTTCTTTGTCATCATCAGGTGGTATATAAATTCATTGTTACTTTAATTTGTCTGCTTTGTATTGCAATTTGCAGTTGTTGGTATACAGACAAATAATTATTTAATTATTAGGATATTTCTCTTATATCGTGGAATTTTCCAAAATATATTGCACATGGACTTAGACCATGGTACGAAATGTTGGGATCTTCTGCAGGGTATGTTCACAGAACGGGGATTGGCTAACGTTCTATGGAGTAGCACAGAGCTATTTTAAGTATACCGCAGTACTTCGGAACTTTCATAGCGTGATTTAGTATGCGGTGTGTTTCACTTGTGGCTCGACGACAGCGCCGCCACAAGTTCAAAGATTCAGACCCTGATCAATTATTTTTAGGCCATACAAATACTTATTCCGTACGGGATTCGAACCCGCGGCCCACTTAATGCTAAACCACCGGGCCACGGAACCGTGAAAATGTTTAAAATAATTATTTCAAAAAAAAAAAAAACAATGAAGGCTGACCTTTCTGCATGAGCTCGTAGTTGTTGATCTCGTCCTGGTGGTCGCGCATGATCTCGGCCAGGCGCCGCTGCGCCGCCTCGTCCAGCGCGCGCTGCGCCGCGTCCAGGTAGCCCTCGCCCTCCGCCTCCCCCTCCGCGCCCGCGCCCGCCCCCGCGCCCGCCCCCTCCCCGCCGCCGCCCGCCTCCCCGCCGCCCGCACCCTCCTCGCCCGACAGCCGCGACCGCTGCTCGGCTGCACACGTCACCACACCTTAACTACTGCACTCACTACATCCTACCCCTCCCTTTACATCTAGAGGTCCCTCTGAGAAAGTACCATCCTCTTTGAAATACATGTATTCTCAACATACTTCGTCACGGTAACAACACACATGACACCTTAGTTAAGTGTACATGGGCTACAATAACCATTTACCATCATGTAGACTGTTTGCTACTTTATTAGATTAATATAACAAAATATAATAGATTTAAGACTACACAATTAAATAAACTATGGGAATGGATACAATAATATATAAAATAATTCTCAATTTTGGAATTCTCGGGATATCCCAGTTCTCTTGATATCGAAAGAGAACTGATTCCACAAAGCAGCATCCCAGTTCTCCCAATTCTTCTAATAAATTATTGTGTAATGATTTCATGTAGTGTTACTCTTTAATTCTTCTTTACAATCTAATTTATAATCAAATAGATAGCCCTAGTTTCATTTCTTGTTCACTGAGCAGTGATTTGTGCCAGCACATGGTAAGAAAGTGAACAACCATAATAACTCCTATACTAACATGATTGTCAGAAATATTAAAAAAAAACATAATGTAGTACCACAAGGTTCTTTCATAGGACCACTATTATACATATACTATATAACTATCAATACCATACATACTAAAATATACCGACATAAAAAAATTTCTTAATACTGTATTAATGTTACATTTTTACTTATTTATATAAAAACAAATTACTACAATAAGCATACTGAATGAAAAATACTTATTACATATACTATAATATACTATATGATTAAAGTAAATGTATGTCGCATTAAACTGTTTCATTCTACATCATCATCATTACAGCTCTTCACAAATGCCATACAGAACTTAGGCCTTTCCCAAGGAGTGCCACAAAGCACAGTACTGTACTGAGCCACCTGCATCCATCAACTTCCTGCATATCTTACCTGGTCGTCACTCCATCTAATTTCCTGTTTAATTAATTCTAATTCGTAATTCCTATACTGAACTGAATGATATTATAATATTATCACGTTCTAATTCTAGTTCTAGCTCAGGGGTGACAACATTACATACTAAATCTAAGTCTGGAATCAACAGCAAGTGTGCATGGGTCGGCACATCAAAAAAGACTATTACCCTATTTTGTCAAACAATGTAAAACAGAGAAGCTATATATATAGAACTCTATAACATATTTAATACTTATAAAAAATAAAATTCTAGTACCCACGGGAAGAAAGAAACATGCTATTAAAATCCAAAAATAGCTTATATTGTTAAAGGTCAATAATGGCACAACCATGTAATGTTGGTATAAGAATATGTACTAATCCATATTAAAACGTGGATGTCGCAAAAGGTGACAGAGAACTGAACCGGAAAATAGGCAGCAGCATCTACTGCAAAAACTACAGTTGCCAACCCACTTGCCAAGCGTGGCAACTACTGCAAATATCCAGCAGAAATGTTCAGCAGTGTACTGTTGATAGGCTGTAATGGTAAGTTAACATAGTTAAATTAAACTACTACCCTAATCTCGTGCACTTACTCTTGTAGGTATCAACGAGCGCCTGCATCTTCCCGTCTGTCCTGGCGAGCAACTTCTTGTCTGCGAGTGCAAACTCGTGTAACAAACGAACACAACGAAGCGCTGCTTCGGGCCCCGCGAACTCACAGAAGCCAAATGTAGACACTCGCTTCCAGCTGAGCACCGGCCCGCAGGCCGACAAAAGCGCTCGGATCATTGTGTCCGGCACTCGACTACTTATGTTGCCTACAGATAAAACCACAATAAACAAGTAAAATTAAAAAATATATGTATAAAAATATTATTATACCACGTTTTTATTTTCATATTCATACATTGTCATCTGATTCAGAATCAGATGACAATGTATGAATATGTAGGTAAGTTCAAAATTTCAAGATTCAAGCTCATCGGGAAGTTAATTTGAAATCAGTTACTAAATTCGACCCAAACATACATACACGAAATTGAAATAGTAAAAATGTGGTAAAATAGGTCTTGGAGAATTAAATTTTTTATCTTAAGACCCAAATAGTTTCAAAATAAAATATAAGTAACAATTTAAGTTCCCTTTGCTAGTCATGTCTCAGAAAATAGTACACCATGTCACTGTAGTGAGGTTGGTAGATGTTACATGCCCTGGAATTATTATTAAATTATTAGTGCTTATTATTAAATTAATAGTGCTAAGCACCTTGAACCAAACTTAAAACTAATTTCCCATATCAATAATTAACATAGCCCGAATGATTAAAGTGAAGTAAAAATGGTTTGGTTGTGAATGTAGCTTGTAAAACAGCTCAGAGGCCAGGGGCTTGGTGTAATATTTACAGTACAAGAGCTACCTGATTTCGATCCTTCATTCAGACAATATTTGGGTCTGGGTAAAAATTTTGTACAACCAACTTCAATATAAATTATTAAAAATAATTCAAAAACTATTGGTCAGACCTTGATCAAATTTATATGGGACTAAATGTGAAGCACCAGCTTTAAAATAAAAAAAAAGAATCATCGAAATCGGTTCACTTAGTAAAAAGTTATAAGGTAACACACACATAAAAAAACATACAGTCGAATTGAGTACCGGCTCCTTTTTTAAGTCGGAAGAAAATAACTTGCCTATGAAAACAGTGACGGCGGGACCTTCGGGCTCTTTGCCGTTGGTCTGTCGGAGCACAGGCCGCGGGGGCGGTGGCTGTTTAGTGGGCAAAGGCGCCGGCAGCAAGGCTCCGCGACCTGCGCCTGTGCTTATTGTACTACCGCCGTAAGCCCCCACCATCACCTGCAACACATTGTTGTATATTATTATATTATATTATGTGGTGCAACATACGCACACCAACCAACTTCAAATAAAGGAGGTGGATAATATATGTTGTAAAAGAAAGCATAAAGATATTAGTGTCATCACAGTGTACTTTCTTTCTTTTTTTAAAAACGTTACCCCCACACTAGGATTTTCTCCTGTGTCGTGGAGGCAGTTTACAAACATAAATTGCACAAGGACAAACATCCAGACCCAGAACAATTATTTGTAGGCCATACAAATACTTGTTCCGTGCGGGATTCGAACCCGCGGCCCCCAGCGCAACAACTGATTGCTAAGCCACTGCGCCACGGAGCCTGCTAAAGAATGGTCTCTTCTTGGTTAACCCAGCAACCAGAATTAGATATATTCCTAAGTATTTAATACTGTAATTGTATTGTAGACATTATACTCAGTTTGACAGATGCATTTAACTTTACTGCTTTGGATAGTATACATTTTTCACATCTTTGCCATGTGTATTTTGATTAGGGCCTAAATGGAGATTTTTTAATGCCTTCTTATTATATTTTTACCCGACTGCCCAGAAAGGGTTATGTTTTTCGCGCTTTTCTTGTATGTATGTATAATTGTTGGTAATTTTTTTTACTACCTCGTATCTTCCAAACAGCTGGATGGATTTCGACAGCTAAGCCGCGTAAAGATTACGCGCAATAACTGCGTCGACCAGTGCGTTCCGCAGAACGCGCTCCAAATGTTCGAAGTGTATGAACTAAGCGCGCCTGGCGTTCGCGGCATCGGTTCCATTGTTAGACCGTTCAACATGTATGTCGTTCGTGTACGAGCAGCTGCCGCTTTCATAGTTCCATGCATCTTCTCTGAGCGCTTTATTATGATAAAAACTACTTTAGCTATTCCACAGCAGATCTTTTAAACTATATAATTGTATTGACTTACGGCAACTGGTTATCCATAGCTCGGAACGCAACGAACACACTAATAATGAAAACATTCGTCCTAACTGGCGCGCGCGCCTTAACTTTATCTACTTTAATATGCGGTAAAAAACAGACACCAGCGTTCGACGGTTGGGACGGTTGTTTTAATCATTCGTGCGTTCCGAGCTATGGATAACCAAAGTTGCCGTAAATTGATAAAATTATATGGTTCAAAAGAAGTGCTATGGAATAAAATTTTCGCACTTAGAGAAGATGCAAGGAGAGAACTATGATAGTGACCGCTGCTCGTACACAACCGACATACAGTTGAACTTATTTGATATACTTCGAACATTTGGAAACGTACTGGTCGGCGCGGTCATCCATGGCGCGGGCGCCAGGAGCGCTTAATCGATACACGGCTTAAGAGAGACTACATTCATAATCGAGTTTGATGGTACAAGCTTGATTGTGAATATGGTGTCTGTTATATAGGGCAAACAAAATGATCTATAAAAACCGGTGTAAAAGAACATGGCAGAAGGGGGTACTACCGCCTGCTTAGGATCCTGTTATAAATAAAATTAACACTATACCCAAGCATACCACTGCAAGACTTCAAGACAAATTTAGCGCATTTCGCATAGATCAAACCAAAAAATAATTAAAAAGCTGAAAGTTGAAATTAATAAGCACTTAATAAATTAATAAGGGCTTCCTGAGAAATTGTGCAATTGGATCACCAGCTTTCTTGCAGATCGGAGCATCAAGGTCGTTGTAGACGGTGCATGCTCAGACTACCAGCCTATTAACGCTGGTGTTCCACAAGGCTGTGTGCTATCACCAACGCTGTTTCTTCTGCATATCAATGATATGTTGCATACTGGTAACATTCATTGCTATGGATGACAGCACTGGTGATGCTCAATACACCGGCCGTGCCTATATTTTTCGCGAAAACGTCGCCGAGTATCGGAACAAACTTGTGTCTGAAGTCAAGTCTTTGCTGAACAAAGTCTTGGATTGGGGGCGACTAAATCTAGTCCAGTTTAAACCTCAGAAGACACAGGGTTTGCGCGTTTACCGCTAAAAAGAACCCCTTTGTCGTATCTTATCAGTTTCAAGACAGGTTGCATCAGCCAGTATCGGAATCCTCGGCGTCGATAGTGTGCTGATATCGAATAGTGTGCAGTTCGTGGTCACTTGGAAGAGAAGGACAAATTGGCTAAAAAGCTTGGCGTGCTCAGTAGAGCGGGACAGTATTTCACGCGCGCACAACGCCTGCAACTTTAAAAGGCGCAGGTTCGGCCTCACATGGAATACTGTTCCCATCTCTGGGCTGGGGCTCCCCAGTGCCAGCTCCTTCCACTTGACCGCATCCAGCGCAGAGCGGCTCGAATCGTCGACTACCGAATCGAAACTTTCCGATCGGCTCGATTCATTGGCACTGCGAAGAGATGTTGCATTCCTTGGCATTTTCTTTCGCATTTACCACGGGGAGTGCTCTAAGGAATTGTTCGGATCAATCCCAGCCGCCAAATTTCACAAACGCACATCGCGACAGAACTCCCGATACCATCCACACCATCTTGATGATTGGCGGTCCACCACTGTCCGATTTAGAAGATGTTTTCTTCCTTGCACAGCTTCCCTGTGGAATCGATTACCACCAGCGATTTTTCCGGACCGATACGACTTAGGGACCTTCAAGAAAAGAGCTTACTCCTTTTTGAAAGGCCGGCAACGCATCTGCAATTCCCCTGGTTCCCCTGGTGTTGTAGTTGTTCATGGGCGGCGGTAGTCACTTAGCATCAGGTGAGCCGCAAGCTCGTTTGCCTCCTCTCCTATAAAAAAAGCGGAATAGAAAAGTATGTAAGACAGATAGACAGTGTAAATTTTTCAATAAGTTGACTTTTGAATATTTAGTAAGTATTTTTGTAGTTATATTTAAATGAAACAATTGAAGGCAGTTTCTAATTGACGGTGGTATGTTGTTTCAGCATTTCATAGCAGAATAATGAAAGCTACCAAGAAATGCAGCTGTACTGTGTCATGGGCATAAACTAATTGCATTTTAACTTATATATTATACAACAATACAGATAATGTGTCATTATGATGCAAGCAATAAACTCTGGCAAATGAATGACATGTCTCTCGACCTTCATTTTACAGAATAAATAAATATGCAGTCTCCTGCATATGCATTAAATTGCTATTGAATGAAACTACTTTTACGGATTTTATTGCCTTTAATTGTGTTTGGGTGCTTTCTGACCATGGGTGCTGGAAAGCACCCATGGTCAGAAAGCACCCAAACTTTATTTGAATTTACTACTTTATTTGAATTTTACTTTATTTGAATTTAATTAATAGAATCGGGCGTTACTTTGCGGAAATCCATTATATAAAAGCTTTTTTGCAAATATCCGCGTTATAAAATAAAATGATGTGTCTTAGCTAGTATGAAGAGCACCTCCCGCCCTCCATCAATTGCTTGCACTATCCCCGTCACCACTAATCCCAGCACCGCTACTCCCAACACCACTACACTAGGCAAGACACACCACTGACGATAACACGACACGTGTTTCGCCTCTACACGAGGCATCCTCAGGTAATATAGACTCTACGGTGGCTAATCGATAAGTGAGCGGCGAGCCAAAACAAGCGCCTTTTATACAGACCGATGACGCAACCGCTCTCTAGTTAAGGAGCGAGCAACTGCGTCATGCGATATAACATGCGACCAATCACCGCTGGACTTACGCAGCCGTTTGTAAAATTAAAAACAAACCGCCGCGCAACGCCCACCCTCTAACCACGCAACCAATCGCCGATCACCGTGAGGGTGACAAACGACCATATTGCGAGGCTCTCTATTATTAGAGAGCAGGCTTAAAGATATTTAAGAGAGGTGAGTTAGTAACATTTGTTTGTTCATTCAGCAATGCAACGGTATTATTATTACTTTTTAATATCTCTAACTGTTCCAGCACACACAGCCGCAGCCTTTTATTACACGTATGTAAGACTGCAAAGGCCAAGAATAAGAAGTAGCGAGAAAAGGCCGTAGAGAAAGGGCCGCGTTGGCTGCTTCTAAGAGCAGCACCAAGAAGGCTGGAGAAGCTACTGCCACCAGTAGCCGCGCTGAAACTGGGAAGGATAAAAATCCAGCCCAAGTGGAAGGCGCGACCGCAGGGGCCAGCTCTAAGATATCCACCAGGAAGCAGAGAGCAGCCAAGCGTCCTGATAGGAAGGAAAGAGCAGCCAAAAGGATGCTGGAAGAGTCCACCTCGCCGAGAGGCGAGCATCAAAAAGTGCGATGCAAACAGCAACCAAAAGCTACAAGAACCAGCTACGCTTCTGCTGCTAAAGCAGATTTGGGTGTGGCCTTAACGTGAGCACGTTCAGATCACATAACAAAGGAAGTAGATGGTGACATCGTCGTGGCAATACAGAGGAAGATGATCAGCGAGGCCTGGAGTAGCCAGGACCCTGATGTGTCAGGCCTAGTTTTTAAAGGCAAGGGTGTCCTGAAACTGTGGTGTGGCGATCAGAACGCTCTGGATTGGTTGAAGGGAAACATTGCTACCCTCGACCTTAAATCCAACACTTCGCTGCTCATAAAGAAACAGTCAGAGATGCCACAGAGAATCAATGTGGTATCCTTATCCCTGATGCCCAGGGAGTCTGGGAAGACTCACGTGAGATTGCTCATGTGCTAGCGTACCAGAATCGCTGGGTAACCATCAGGGACTGGCTACTACTCAAGGCTAATAAGCAGACGGACGTGTGGTTCCTCATGTTTCGGCACCGGAGGATCATATCCTGACCCTGATAAGAGCCAGATGCCTTCTCACATGTATATGTGGGGCGGTATACGTAAAATTCCTGGGATGTGCGAGTAATTCTTTGATACTCCACCAAGCAAAGAGGCAGATATCAACCGTACAGCGGAATCACTGGATGGCAAGTCCAGTGAAAAAACGGCCTGCACAACCAAGCCGAAGTCCCCAGTAGAGATCGGGCTCTGCGGCAGCTCACTGAGTGACGAAGAGGACTGCATTTTGCCATCCAATTCTGACTCGGTGGCTGACTATGCGTCCCGAAATCTGCTGGCAGGCTTATTTTTGGACGGGGACGGGGAGGACACGTTAGGGATGCTCGATCTGGATCGATTTTCTGAAAGATCGATTCACGGCCATACGATCTACCGATTTTTTAGATTCAAGGGAATGCGATCTTTACTCAGATCGAATCGTATACCGTATGAAAAAATCGTAGGCTTAGCTTTCCATTGACGTCCGTCGAGTTGGGTGTTGATACGTATTTTTACAGCACTGATACATTATTATAAGCACACACACAGTTTCAACATGCGGAAACGCGTAATTTTTGAGAAAAAATTTATATAAAATCAATTATTCTAGCAATATTTATGTCTAATCCTACCGTTAAACTGGCGCCATTTTGTAATTTCGATTGATGTCAATTCTTTCCGAAAAGGTCGATTTTTAAATCGATTCAAATCGTAAGCTGATGTATCGGTTCACAAAAAAATCTATTTCTAAAATATCTATCTATCCGCATATTGGAACTTTGTGTGTGTGCTTATAAAAATGTAATCTTTCTGTAAAAATACTTATCAACACCAAACTCGACGGACGTCAATGGAAAGTCGTAACAAATCGTATCAACTAAAACCTAAATATCAACCGAACCGTAACGTACTAACGTATGAACCGATCTATCGTATTGCCGGGGAGAGGACAGAAAATCACAATAACTGCTCGGGGCAAACTGAGCAACAAGACCAAGGCGACCCGTGCCACGCTATCCGTGAATTTCTGCAACATCAGCGGACTTCGATCGAACCTAAACGCCGTCCACTACTGTCTCGAGACGGCGAAGCCGGCCTTGCTCTTTCTGACCGAGACGCAGGTGTCCCCTCCGACTGATACTTCGTATCTCTCCTATCCAGGGTACAAATTGGAGCACTACTTTGTGCCTCGGGCTGGAGTTGCGTGTATTTCAGAGAGGACATCGGTTCTCGACGCCTCGGCAGTCTTGAAGGTTCGGACCTGTCCATCCTTTGGCTACGCGTAGACAGCGACGACCATCCGCGCGTCTACGTGTGCCTCTATAGGTCCCATAGCGGTAATGCCGAAACAGACCGACTCATCGAACACGTCCAAATGGCTACAGATTCCTTGCTACAACAGGTCCCATCCACAGAGATCGTGATAAATAAATAAATAAATATCATTTTATTGCCACTTTTAAACACATGTTTACATATAAACTAATTATTTAACCTTAATTTAATTTAGGCAAACGGAGGTGACTCAGCTTTTGCTCACATGGAACTAGATCCCATGAAGCGCTGGTTTTCAGGCACTCCTTCTTCCCTGAGATGTTACACGGGTGTTATGAGAATTTCGAGTTCCCCAATCACCTCTTTCATTTACTCATCTATCATTGGAATTTAACATGGTATGGTTGTGAACTTTCATAATTATTAATTAATCAGTTAATAATTCTTGCATTCGTGCGCACGCGCGCGAATCCTTGGCGATTTTAACGCCCACCACGCCGAATGACTCGGTTCACGTTTAACCGATCATGCGGGGAGATCTGTTTATGAATTTGCCTTGGCATATGGTCTGACACAACTGGTTACATCGCCTACGCGGATTCCAGATGTTGAGGATTATACACCTTCCCTGTTGGACCTTCTGCTGACCTCTCATCCGGACGGATATCAGGTTTCCGTCGATGCCCCTCTTGGCTCTTCGGACCATTGTCTGATCCGGAGTGTGGTGCCACTCACGCTCCCCTCGCGGTTGTGTTCTGCAGGTTGCCGCCGTGTTTGGCATTACAGGTCGGCGGATTGGGACGGAATGCGGTCTTTCTTTGCTTCCTACCCATGGGAGCTGGTTTGCTTCTCGCCGGATGATCCCAGCGCTGTTGCTGACTCTGTCACTGATGTGGTGCTACAGGGAATGGAACTATTAATTCCATCATCTGTGGTACCCATTGGAGGCAGATCTCAGCCTTGGTTTGGTCGCTTCTGTAAGACTGCATTAGGCTTCGGCAACTCGGGACGTAAACACATTCTGGTCTCTCGCCAAGGCTGTCCAAGGGAATTTCTGTAAGCCATCACTACCATCTCTGCACAGGGAGGACGACTCACTGGCCCACGACGCAAAAGAGAAAGCCGACCTTTTAGGGTACCTTTTTGCGTCCAACCCGACTGTTGATAACGGGGGGAACACACCCCCGACCATCCCCGTGGTGTGAGTGCTCCATGCCGGATGTGCAGTTCTCACAGCGCTCGGTTCGCAAAGCACTCCTCTCCGTTGACATCCACAAGTCGAGTGGGCCTGACGGAATCCCCCCAATTGTGCTGAGCCAATTTGGCCTTCTCTTCCAAGTGACCACGAAACTGCACGTCACTCGAAATGTCGACGCCGATGTTTCCGATACTGGCTGAGGCAACAAGGGGAGTACCTTGGAACTGAGGAGATACGACAAAGGGGTTCTTTTTAGCGGTAAACGCGCAAACTTGTGTCTTCTGAGGATTAAACCAGGGATGGAAAAAATCATGATTTTTCTTGACTTCAGACACAAGTTTGTTCCGGTACTCGGTGACGTCGGCATGAAATACTGTACCAGTATTTCAGCAGTATTTCATGCCGGTTCAACGCTTGCAACTTTACAAGGCGCAGGTTCGGCCTCACATGGAATACTGTTCCCATGTCTGGGCTGGGGCTCCTCAGTGCCAGCTCCTTACACTTGACCGCATCCAGCGCAGAGCGGCTCGAATCATCGACAACCGAGTCCTTTCCGATCGGCTCGACTCATTGGCGCTGCAAAGAGATGTTGCATCTCTGCATTTTCTTTCGCATTTACCACGGAGAGTGCTCTGAGGAATTGTTCGGATTAATCCCAGCCGCTAAATTACACGAATGCACATTGCGGCAGAACTCCCGATACCATCCACACCATCTGAATGATTGATGGTCCTCCACTGTGTGATTTAGAAGATGTTTTCTTCCTCGCACAACTTCCTTGTGGAATAGTTTACCACCAGCAATTTTTCTGGACCGATACGACTTAGGGGCCTTTCAAGAAAAGAGCCTACTCCTTTTTAAAAGGCCGGCAACGCATCTCCAATTCCCCTGGTGTTGCGGTTGTCCATGGGCGGCGGTAGTCACTTACCATCAGGTGAGCCGCATGCTCGTTTACCCACTCTCCTATAAAAAAAAAACAACAAGCCTAGAGCGTGTATTTATACTACTAAAGATATCTGTGCACAACCATTAACAGATTTCTGTTCCAGAGACATGTATGCCATAGCAATACAAAATACACAGGAGGGAAGATTAGTTGTTGCCTTGGTCTACATCCCAGAGGAAGACACTCCTCCCCTCATGACCTCATCAGGCTGGTGAATTTCTACAAGAGGACCAGACTAGAGGTTGTGATTGAGATGGACTCCAACACGCATCATCCCTTCTGGAGAATGGAAAAGCCAACAAATGAGGCAATGTGTTAGTTGAATATCTCTTTAGCACTAACCTATTTTAAACACAGGTTTCGATCCAACTTATACAAACAAACATTGTTGCACAATAATTGCTAGACACTAATACGGTTAGACGTGGAGATTCGGAAAACAGCCCATCTTAAACCAACTACTTTATTTGTTTGAGAGATGAGACACTCACTTATAACTGCATCAGCGTTATTAAGCATAAGAAAGAATTAGAGACTTGTAAAAATATATCTTAAGTTCTAGGCTTAATATTAATGTACTTGGTATACAATTTTAACCCAAAATAACAATTTTAAACAACTTCGAGATCATGATTATGAAATTTTAATTTTCTGCCCATTAGCACACCTAGGTTTCTAGCCTCTGTCACTTGTTCAATATGTTTGTCCTGTATTTTTAACTCCAATGTAAACTTATTAATCTTATCTAATTGATTTTTTAACGTAGGACAAGAGATTTAGACTTTTGCAGATATAAGTAGACCATACGACTAAATAAAGCCCGCTTCATTTTTGCCCCAGCTAATAAACTTTCCAAAGGTTAATAAAGCTGTAAGTCATCAACATATGTATGAAATTTGCAATGTTTAATGCATGTAGCAATATCAGCACACATAAAAAGGATCCCATTCATGTCCAGTTTTATACAGTAACATTGTATGTGCAATTACTATTAGAAAGATCTTGCTCTGAAAATATTGATAAAAATTAATACTGCAACTGTAAAAGCTAAAAGGCATAGTTTTCAAACTTTACAGAAAGCAACAATTTTTCTTTTCTAGAACTTAAAATAGAAAATGAAAAGTACATGAAATAATCGAAAAGTAATTTTGATTATTCGTTATTTATTACTTTCGTTACATCATAACATGAGAGAAATTACTTTTACGGCCGAGAATCTCATATCTTCATAATTATAACATTGTAAATACATATTCATTCAACCCAAGAGGTCAGTTTTTCAGTATACTTATCCTAAATTAACAGGTTAGTTACAGCAACTTAGTGTGGATTTGCTTACATGTGTAGCCATGGGCATGGTGACGACTCCCGGTGCAATCCCGTATGGGACCATTGGAGGCCGGGGCGGGAACGACATCGCACAATCCACACAATTTATCAAAGTTAAACGCTCACCCGCCCTGCAAATAACTAAACTAACACTATATTCTGTACGCTTTGTCAAAGTGACGCGTACAGTTATAATCACTAACTTCGTCTCTAGCTAGGAGACGTTTCCACATACAAAACTTTTATGTGTATTTTTCACTTTTGACTTAGATTTGTATTATTTAATAAAACATTTTATTTAATAAAAATTACAACCTAAGTTCTTTTTAACACCAAATTAATTTGGCAATCAACTCGGCCATGTTTTAGTTTTCTTTTCTCCTTTTATTATAGCATTGGCTACAAGGCTTTCAGCCAATGGAGTCGGTTAAAAAGAATGCATATAACGCAGAAATACCAACGAGTGTAATAAAATCACTACATTAAGTTTGTATACGATATTGCTTGACAAGAGTCTTTGTGTTTTATAAGTGAATTTTTATTTATCTATTAATAATTACCTAAATTATATTTTAACAAAATAATCAATATTTGTTTCATTGTCCTTCTGCCAATGTTCTGGTAAAGACCACAAACTAATAAGAAGAAAGACAGAATGCCAGGGATCTAAGACTCTTGGGACCTGATTGAAGAAACTGTTGTCATTCTGCCGTGAATTATAATTATCACTTAACTTTTTCACTCAAATAATCATATAAGGACAAAACTAAGAGAGAATTAATCCAAGTACAAAGAATATGGTGGGAAAAATCTGTATAGTAAGAAAGAAAGAATTTTTGCCGTATTCACATTTCTGAATTAGAAACTTTTTTTTATTTTAGGTTTCAAGCAAATCAAAACATTTCCTGATAACAGAATTATTTTGAAGTATCATCATCATTACAGCCCTTCACAAGTCCACTGCTGAACATAGGCCTCCCTCAAGGAATGCTCCAAAGTACGGTCCTGAGCCACCTGCATCCTTCAACTCGCTGCATGTTTTACCAAGTCGTCACTCCATGTAGTGAGGGGATGCCCTACACTTCTTCCGCCGGTACGAGGCTGCCACTCGAAAACCTTTTTTCCCCATCGGTTGTCAGTTCTTCCAGCTAGTATGGCTAGCCCATTGCTATTTCAGCTTACTAATCCTTTGGGCTGTGTCTGTAACTCCGGTTCTACTGCGAATAACGTCATTTCTATATTTATCACGCAGAGAAACCCCGAGCATAGCCCTCTCCATAGCTCGCTGAGGGATCTTGAGCTTCCTCATATGGCCAGCAGTGAAGGACCACGTTTCAGTTCCATAGGGCAACACGCACTAGTTGAACAGTCTAGTTTTTAAGTTTTGAGGTATAATTGACAAGAAGATATGCCGTAATTTCCCGAACGCTGCCCAGCCGAGTTGAATCCGTCGATTGACCTCGGGGTCGAAGTTGGACTTACCTAGTCGGACTATTTGTCTCAGGTAAACATACTTGTCAACAACTTCGAGCTTAGTGTCCCCAACAACTACCGGCATAGGTGTGACATAGACGTTACACATGACTTTTTGTTTTGTCCATGTTCATCTTAAGATCTATGCGTTGGGAGGCACTATTGAGGTCATTGAGCATAACGCTTAGGTCTTCCAGCGATTCTGCCATAAGCACTATATCGTAGGCAAATCGAGGGTGAGTAATGTACTTGCCATTGACGTTAATACCGTATCGTTTCCAGTCCAGTAGCTTGAAAACGTCTCCCAACGTAGCGGTGAAGAATTTCGGTGAAATAACGTCACCCTGTCTTACACCTCTCTGCAGTTGAATAGGTTTTGTACTCTGGTTCTGTACTCGGATAGCCATCGTAGCCTTACTGGACAAAGACTTCAGTACTTCGATATACCGACAGTCAACTTGGCACCGCTGAAGAGACTGCAGCACGGCCCAATTTCGACGGAATCAAAGGCTTTCTCATAGTCCACATACGCCATACATAGGGGCAAATTGTACTCCTCGAACTGTTGTACAATTTGCCGTAGGCTATGTATGTGGTTTATGGTGCTAAAGCCTTTTCAAAAACCGGCTTGTTCGGGAGGCTTGATGTCGTCAAGTCTGCGTGCGAGACGATTCATAATGAGTCTCGAAAACAGCACGTAGACGCAGCTCCGAAGGGAAATCGGTATTTAGGTCTTCAAGAGAGCGTTGTCGCCTTTCTTGAAGAACAAGACTGCTGCTCCACGCCTACAGTGAAGTGCCACCATAGAGGACAGAATTAAAGAGCTTCTGAAGGACTTCAAGTACCGGTTTTCCACCCGCTTTCTGAAGCTACACTTTAATTCTATCCTCGCCTGGGGCCTTGCCGTTTTTAAGGTGCTGGAGAGCCATTCTAATTTCGTCCGGAATATCATCGGAATAGTGTCGGATAAGACTTGCTCTTGGATCTTTACTCACACTTGCATATGGCTCCAACGATTTTGTTTACAGCTGCCCGTTGAACCTCTCAATCTCACTCGAAATCTCAGGTGTCCCAGAAACGACGCTGCCACACTCGGTCTTCAGCTTCGAGAGTTGGCTGTGTCTGGCAGAAAGATCTCTAGCAAAGACTTTGGAGCCCTAGTTCCGCTCGATCGCTTCCTCAATACGTTCTATATTTAATTTGCGTAAGTTCCGCCGCATGCATTTGGAGATCTGTCTGTTCAGTTGCCTGACCGCTGTCAAATATGCTGAAAACTGCAGCTTAATTTCCCTTCTAATAGCCATGAGATTAGGAGTGTAATTGGAGAGATTTTGTGTTCTTCTGCGGCGGGTCTTGCAGAACTTAGCTCCGACCGCATGGATAATTTCCACGAGCTTGTCATTCATATGGTCCACTTCATTGCAGTCTTCTAGGCATTGAAAACGGTTTTGTCACTCGAGCTGAAAGGTTTCGGGAATTTGGAAAAGAGCACGAGGGGGACGGAGCGTTGACTTCATTAGACGAGACCTCTCCAAGTTAACGTTTAGGTTCAGTGTGCCTCTAACCATTCAGTAATCGCTACCAGTTTTCATCCTCGCGACGACTGAGATATCACTGATCAGTTGTCTTGTCAATCTCATTTTTTATCGAACCGTCGGGGCTCAAATAGGTCCACTTCCTGTGGGGCCGATTCTGGAAGGAAGAGTTCATCATAAAGAGTCCCTCTTTCTCCATGAAGTCGGCCAGCTGCTGGCCCCTTGGGTGCCGTTGCCCTATTCCAAACTGCCCTACCTTCAGCTCATCGTTCTCTCTTGTGCCTAGTTTTGCGTTGAAGTCTTCCATTAACACCGTATAGTAGGTTTTGGAGGAATGCATGGCTCTAGATATATTCACATACATTTCCCCCGCCTCCTCATCGGGATGTGCCGTGGTTGGTGCGTAAACCTGTATAGCCTTCAGCGAATACCGTTTGGTGATTATGAGTATAAGGTATGCAACCTTCGTCGACACACTCTCAATCTTTACAACGTTGTTAACTACAAACTTGTGGACGATAAATCCGACACCTCCTTGGGACATAGAGGGCGACTAGCCCTCTCGGTAATAGAACAAGTTGCCGGATTCAAGGATTACCATGTCCTCCCCCTCTCTTCGTACCTCGGATAATCCTATAATATTCCAGCGCAACTTGTCTATCTCTTCTTCCAACTCCAGGATCTTCTCGTCAGTCCTAAGGGTGGGTGCGTTATATGTTGCCAGGTCAAGTCCTCTTAGGTGGCAACCGAACCTCCACCGGCAATTCTTAGCACCCCCTTCCCCACTGTTACCATGGTCGCCACCGTAGCTAGGAATAGCTGGGCCGCCGGGGACTGGAGATATATTGCCATAGTTGCCACGCTTGGCGAGCGGGTTGGCAAACGTAGTTTTTTTTATTGTTGTTTTGCTGTTATCAGAAAGATGCTGCTGCCCAACTTCTGCCTCAGTTTCCTTCTGTCGCCTCTTACGACACCTAAGATATGGGGTAGTGGGTATTCTTACCCGCCACTACACGGGTTGACTAAATTTTGAGGTAGTATTAGGTCTTTACCTATGAAATTGCCGTTTTTTATGAAGAAATTTAACGTAAATTTTTTTGTACATTTTTTCTTTCTGTTAATCAAAGTACCTAAGAATGCAGTGGTAGTTTATTAAGCTCTTCTTGAAGAAATAAGCTGGACGTGAGGCAACAAATTTTTCAAATCTATTTTGTGCTGCCTCTTAGGTATTAAATTTTTTCCGCCAAAAAGCTATCCAAATTCTGGAAAAAGTAGAAGTCTGTAGGCGCAAGGTCTGATGAGTACGGCGAATGACGGAGTGCTTTCAACCCCAGCTCTTGTAACTCGGAGACCGTCTGTTGTGCAGTATGAGGTCGCGCGTTGTCGTGGAGGAGAGCGGGGACGAGCTATTGACCGAAGCTGGTTGGATAAATGGGAGCTTCTCCATCATTGAGTTCAATTCTTCACAGTACACATTTTCAGTAATGTTCATCCCGTTTGGTAAGTAACTGTGATGAATAATACCGGCGCTAGATCACCAAACAGATACCATCAATTTTCTACGGTAAGTTTTCATTTAGGGCAAATTTTAGATGCAGAACCAGGATCCATCCAACTTGCTGAGCGCTTGTAATAGTCAAACAGGACTTCATTCATATTGCCCTATTATTCACTTGGTCTATAACATATGCACTGAGTAGCTCAAAATATATTATGTTTCCTTATCTTGTCTTTTTTTTAAATGTGTATAATCATAAAATATGCTTGACCGATGGGAGTAGGTGGGGCACACTGAAATGATCGGGATAAGAAAACCCACATGCACGGTATAGCTAAATTATTGTATTTTATTGTTTTTCGAAGTATTCTCCGTTCAACTTAATGCCCTTTTCCATTCGTGCAAACAAATCATTAAAACAGTAATCCCAGTCTGAAGTTGATGTTGACAAAATGGCGGATTTGTACGCTGCCACAGCTGCTTCGCGGTCTTCAAACCGTTGACCGCGTAATAAATCTTTCATTCTAGGGAATGTAAAGAAATCGTTTGGGCTCAGGTCAGGACTGTACGGAGGATGGCTCA